GATACAAAAGCACAGTTGATCTTCATTGTTCTCAGATTCCACATTTGTGAATTCACCTTCTTACCAAAGTCTGTAACCCCAGAATCAACACTTTACAGCATTCTCCGGGCATTTGCTGATGCGTGCAGGGCAGTGAAAACCGAGCTGGCCTGGGGTCCCCAGCTGGGATTGAACTTGGTGATGGTCTCAGCTGTGACCATCTCTCATACTGTTAACAAGAGTCCTTTTCCCTGTCTATTTAGGGCCACATTTTCTATCATTCTTGTGCTTTTTGTTGACTCTTTTGTTGTTTAAAGGGCCCCTCAGGCGTGGTGCTAAGTGCTGTCTAGCTTTCTTAAGCACGGGAAGGGTCTGATGTGTTTTATGGAAAAAATGTGCCTGTTAAAAATGCTTCATTCCGGCATGAGTTACGGTGTTGTTGGCTGTAAGAGTTCAGTGTTAATGAATCGACAATATATAGAGAGCCAAAAAATATATGCACAGTGTAAGAAAGGAGAAAGAGCTGCATTAAATCTGTAACATTGAAGTCACATTTGATTTCTGCAATGACGAGAGGTGCTCAATGTGACTTTTTTTTCTTTCTTTTTTTAATTAAATCATAGCTGTGTACATAATGCAGTCACGGGGTACAGTGTGCAGGTTTTATATACAATTTGAAATATTTTCATCAAACTGGTTAACATAGCCTTCATGGCATTTTCTTAGTTATTGTGTTAAGACATTTATATTCTACATTTAGAAAGACTCACATGTACCCTTGTAAGATGAACCATAGGTGTGATCCTACCAATCACCCTCCCTCTCCCCATATTCTTGGGTTATAATTGGGTTATAGCTTTCCTATGAAAGCTATAAATTAATTTCAAAGTAGGGCTGAGCACACTGGATACTTTTTCTTCCATTCTTGAGATACTTTCCTAAGAAGAATATGTTACAGCTCCATCCATGTAAACATGAAGGAGGTAAAGTCTCCATCTTTCTTTAAGGCTGCATAATGTTCCATGGTATACATATACCACAATTTATTAATCCACTCGTGGGTCATTGGACACTTGGGCTTCTTCCGTGATTTAGCAATTATGAATTGGGCTGCAATAAACATTCTGGTACCAATGTCTTTGTTGTAGTGTGATTTTTGGTCTTCTGGATATATGCCTAGTAGAGGAACTGTAGGATCAAATGGCAGGTCTATTTTTAGTTCTCTAAGTGTTCTGACTTGTATTCATCTTTTGTTATTGGTATTTATTGAGCGTTCCAATTGTAACACAGATTTTTCCTTTCTTAAAATATGTATTCAGTTTTGGCACCATCTATATATTTTAAAAGGTGTCTTTCAACAGAAACATATGTCCATGAAGGCTGTATAGAGATTGGTCGATGAAAATGTTGTGACCAGAGGCTCATAGGAACCTAACCCTATATTTCCCCTGGGAGCAATAGTAATTCAGTGTTTTGATGACTTTATAGAACATAACTAATGAAGAACAAAAATCTATTGTATTTAAATTTGGACTAGCAGGAAACACATCTAACTTACAATGGTAGTTGGCTTTGAGGGCTGAGGTGTGGGGAAGGAAGCCAAGGGTTTTATCAATAGACAGAAAGACATTTAAGCTTAAAAAGATATGTCACCAAATGTTAACTCTTCTTGAATGGTGCTAATATGGGTGTTTGCTTTTATTTTTAATTATTTAATTTCCTCAAGGAAAAATCCCTAGAAGAAAGCATCGTTGGCAAAGAATGGCATAAGAATGTGGTGGCCACTATCGAAAGTATGTTTCCACACACTTTCAGTGTACACATACTGAGAGCTGAGTGTAACATCACCTGTAAGGTAAGTACTAGTCCAAAACTACAATTTGGAAAAGTGAATAATTACCACATGACCACAGCTGGTCCTAACACATGAGCGCAGCCCCATCTCAGCATTAATAATGACACAGGGCTAGGATTATGAAGCTGGAAAGAAATCTTACAGCTCTGCACTCAGGAGATGCTGTTACTTGAAGTTCTGGGGCATGACCATTTGTTTCTGTCTAGCAACCGATACCATTTCTCAGCCAAAATACAGCCATTTTGCTGTGTCCATTAGAAACCATACCACCTGTAGCTTATAAATCTCTCCAACAGATGTAATGGGATATTTAGATACTCTGTTTCACAAAGCAGCCAGGTATCGGGAAATTGCATTTTTTTTTCTAATTATTTCAGTAATGCACATAGTTAAGTATAATCTCAAAATACTTCTCTCCTCATGCAAAATGAAAAGAATACTATTTGCCAAGTGATTGAGAAGGATGAAGTGACCTGAAATGCCTAGCAGAGAAAAGCATCTGTGCCTGCAAAGTATCCCTTGGTAAAGTAAAAGAACCCTTGGAGAGGCTATAATTTAATGGGAAGAGGAGGAACCGTCGATGCAAGATGGGTTTCGCATCCTTAGTTCCCACGTGAAGGATGAGTTAACTTATGTCAAGAGTTTAATAAACACGGTTTGTCAGATACTCGTATATTCATTTTTTTAATTATGCAAGTGTATTTCAAGAGTTATCCTTCCACATCAAATCACAGAAGCGCCTCAATTAACTAAAGCAAGGGGAAGAAATGGTTGCTGTCATCTCATTAGCTGAATTCTCAGACTGGTTAGGGTTTAAGCAGAAGCCTCCCCGAAATTTCTAAAATGTACCATACAACTTCTTGCCCTGTGTGTAGAATACTACTGCTATTATAAGAATGCATCGGGTATTTATTGAAGACCTGTGGTATAACTGGTACCATTAAACGCTGTTCACTCATTTATAATAGCACCATCCAGTCAGGGCTCAGGCTGCCTATTTTAACTGCTGAGGAAGCCGAGGCACACAAAGATCAGGTAAAAAGAATGAATGTCACCTTCTGATGGCTAAGTGAGTTCATCAATTTCTTATCACCATTCTCAACTTTCATGATGCTATAATTTTCAGAAGATGGTCACAGTATTGATCCTGAGGCATTGATCCCGAGCCGTGGTCTGGGATTTTGAATGAATTTTTGCCACTAGAATGCTTTAGTGTCTTTTGTCTCCTCGTCTCCGAAGGGGAGGGGGCGGTAGTTAACTACTAATACCAGTTAATGATTCCTTTAGGAGAGTTGACCAAATGGCTGTTCTTTTGGTCAAAATTAAGCATGTGGCACGTAGCAAATTAGTGAAGGTGCTCTGGTCACGTGCTAATTACTAGCCGGCAGCACCACAAAATTCCCTGTGTTTAATCCCATTGGTTGAGCTGAGGGTCCCACCGAATTGCAAACTGCTCTATGTCTCTTTAATTGAACATTCCGAATTCATGCCAAGTTTCTTTTTTTCTTTAGGAATTTTATCTTTTCATAAACTGAGTAATGGCAAATCACAGTTTATGAAAATGACAAATGACCTCCAGTTTGACATAATTCCTTTTTATTTTTGACCAAAAAGAGTCAAAGGATCTGAGTTTTAATTCCATTTCCTTTAATAAAGAAATACCTGCAGGGACCAAATCACCTTGCTGTCACTGGTGTCCCATAACACTTCCACATTGTGGCCGACCATCTGCTTTTAAAGCCATCTCCTTGTTTCTTTGGGCATAAATATACAACCATTTCTTAAAAATAAAGTCCACACTCTGCTTTGAAGATGGAAATAAACAAACATTGAAAAAGGCCAGGAAGACTTCGGGCTTGAAGGGTGCTGTAGGAAAATGCATTGTACCATTATGAAAGTGTATAGAATATTTGAAAACTGCAACAATAAAACATCTCTATTAGTAAGTGGGTTTATTGACATAACTGAACAATGTATAACATTCATTCATTTCCCACTGAAAGATTTTTCAGTGAAACTGTTATGAGTAGAACTTAGGTCCAAGCATTAAGCACTTTTAGCAATGTTCCACAAGTTGAAAAGGTGGGTGGTGGGCAGAACCAGAAGCCTTTTCCAGAATTGCCATGGGACTCCATATTATCTTGCTATACAAAAGAAACAGCTAAGAGATGCAGTCTTGCAATGAATGAAAAAAGTCACAAGCACAAAAGGTGCCAGATTGAAACTTGCAGGTTGAAAATCAGAGTGACTAACTCCACCTGCAGCAATGAGCTCTGAATCTAAAACAAGCCTGGCAGCAAACTAAGACTGACAGTCTATTTCCTGTGGTTTATTAAGTTTTGGCCTCACAGATAAGACTGCCAGTAAAGCATCTGGAGTGTAAGTGGTCTGGACATTTATTCATCTGAACATAAACAAAGATCAGCTCATTTAGATCCCTGGGTCCCTACTCTAGGCCAAACATAAAAGCAGTGAACTGGGGTGAAGGACCCCTGGTTGTGATGGTTTCCCTGAGTCTTCAGGACCCTCAGGGGCTTAAGGCCCTAAATAGAAGATTTTCCGTTAGCCTTAGCACCATTGTCGTGGCCTCCACGGTACCCCACTGCCAATTAATCCATAACCACAGCAAACAGAACCACAGTGTCCACCCTCTTAGTGACTACATTTTTAGACCATACGTAAAGTAATGTAAACCAAACCACTACATTTAGTGATTAACATGTACTTCATAAATATCAGGGAACAAAAAGCATCCTAAATAGCTGAAAATGACTGAACTAATAAAGCATACTAGCCCTACATTTAAAACAAAAACATTTAAAAGAAATACTGCAAAAATTAGCTAAAAGATAAGATTTAATAACATAGTAAAACACTAGGTCGTGGAGGGATTAATTGCAAAATATATAATTATTTCACAGTGAGATTTAAGTACTCATAACAATCTTCTAGTTTTAGTAGAAAAGATGCCCACTGATACACTTTTTTTCACATTTGTTTTCCATAATTTCTTCCTCTCTATCCTATACAGAAAGACATTAATGTGATCAAACATTATATCATCAGTTGATAATCACCTTTTGTTTCCCTATTAGGAAATTATCACTTAGCTGCAACTCAAGCGAATCAGGACACAGTCAACTGTGTGTCACTGATAAAAATATAAGAAGTACCACAATCACATTTATTACAATCGAAACACACTGTCACAGATGTGGTAAGTGAACTAAAACGCTGGAGTTCCCTAGGGGGTCATCAGTTACATATACATTCTTTAATCCAATCTGGCATTGAAATTTCCTTTTTCCATATATAAGTTTAGAAAAAATAAAATTAAAAAGCCACAGGAGCAACCCTGACAGAGAAGTCTTGCATGCAGCCTTCTCCTGAGAGTATGTAATCTTAGTTATTCTCAAAGTCAGCAAATGTTCCTGTACTGTTAATGTTAAAAGGAAAATAGTTGAACAGCTCAGTCCAACGAAAACAATCCTTGAGTTTATGGGTCAGTTTGTTAAATGTTAGAGCTCTTCACATTGTTGAAAAAAAATTGCATCTCATTATTTAAACTTTAAGGTATCCTGAATGCTCTACCAGCCAACATATGAGTTCCTTGGCGAGTGTGTTAAACTTTACCACCTGTTTATATCACACTTCTTGGCAGAGACCACCAGACCAGTGGAGTCAGTTGCCAAGCCTCCTTTGTAATGGTAATAAGTTCCTTTTTCCTTAAATAGAAACAAAATCCCTCTGTTTGACACTGAACAAACAAAAAGCATGCACCCAAACCTCTTTCAGGGCATGTTGGGGACACAAGCACCCTTTGCTACCCCAGAAGAGGACAGGCTGTCGCACTGCAATGCTACAAAAGCCATTCCCACAGCTATGCCAAGTTCTCCAACCCCAGCACACGAGTCCTCTTTTCCCAGGCCACCAAGTACTATCCATTTATTTCATCAGTAAGTACTGAGAATTAGGATTTGGCTCCCGAATTGGCCCTCTGTCCCCTATGGCCTCTCAGTGAAGTTAACAAAAGGTGGGGAGAAGATTTGATAAAGTAGGGTCTTCCCCTGAGATGGGCCTACGGAGAGATGGCTCCTCAAGGCCAGTGAGATGGTCACCACGCCAGGAGGCCCTGGACCTAGTCTGCAAATCGCTGCAGGAGATGGTCCTCCCGCCTCAAGCTGCCGCCGGCCCCGCCGCCAGCACTGTCCATGAAGCGGTCGCAGGGAAACTCAATGAGGTCTGCCTCGCTGAGCGCGCACACGGTAGTGCGCGGCCGGTGCGACTGGAATCCCGAGAAGTCTGCGGACACACCGGTGCCCATGGAGCGCAGGGGCCGTCGGGTGGAGTACATGTGGCGAACGTGGACCGGGGCCCCCCCCTTCCGCCTGGCCCGCAGCTTCCTCCGCAGCCAGCGAAACGCCCAGGCGGCCAAGGCCAGGAGCACCAGGAGCGCGTTGACGGTCAGCAGGGCCAAGGTCAACAGCTGGTAGTCCACGCTGCCCCGGCTCCCGGCCTCCGGCAGGGTGACCAGCCCCGCGCAGTGGTCTCGGGGAGCCACGGGGCAGACCCTGCCCCCGAGCACACCCTCCACACACACCAGGTAGGGGGTGTCCCCGCGCAGCTCGCGGAGCGTGGCTGAGTCGCTGCGCTCGGGCAGGTAGACGAAGCGGTGGAACTTGGGCTGCTGGCCAAAGCGGTCGAAGAGCAGGCGGAAGCGCGCGCCGCCCAGCGGCCGGGGACTGCGGTGCTCGCGCACGGCCCAGCGCACCGAGGCGCTGTCGGCGCCCACCGCCTCCACGGTCAGGTTGCACAAGATGAATTTGTTAAAGTCGCAAGGGTCGGACACCAGTGGCGGCAGACTGACGCCGCCGTCGGACTGAGCGGCACTGTCCTGCTGCTCTGCGGCCAGGCGCTGCTTTGCCACGCGCTGCCAGGGCTCGCGGGCGGGCGATGTTGCAGAGCCGTGTGCAGCCGTTGGGGTGGGCTCCACGTGGGCGGGATCGGCCCGGGTCGGACGTCCCAGCTTGGGCTTCTGGTGTAGGTCCAGGGGATGTGGACCCAGGCCCGCGGCGGCAGGCACGGAGGGGCCGGGCTGCTGGAGGCCGGGGCCCCACCTGCTCAGCCTGAGGGCGCTCCTGTTGCCCACGAGCCCCCTGGTGGCCCCATCCCAGGCCACCCCAGTTAGAAATCGCCCCCGCTGCTGGGACTGAGGCTGCGGCAGCAGCTCCTCTGTGAGACCATCTGCAGGGGGTGTCATCATCTCCCCCGCAGCTGTGGGTAGGAGTTGTCGCCTGCCTTCTGTGGTCGGGGAAGCTGAAGGCGACGGATCCACGCAAGACCCGTTTTGCAGCTGCTGGTCATCCAGATAATCCAGGTACTTGCCCCGCAGGGCCGGGGGATGGCGACACTGCACGAAGACAGTGAGGAGACGGCCCTGTGAATGCCAGTCGCCCATCCAGCGCTTCAGGCCCCGCAGCCGGCAGTCGCAGGTCCAGCCATTACCGTCTAGATCTAGCCGGTAAAGGGCTGGACTGGCGGCGAAGATGTCCCCGGAGAGAGCACTGAGGGCATTGTCGCGCAGGCTGAGCTCGCGCAACCGGCCGAGGCGGCCAAAGGTGGCGGGGTGCAGGGCGGACAGTTCGTTGCCACTCAGGTCCAGCGCCTCCAGGCTGTGCAGAGGCTCCAGCAGCGCCGTGGGCAGCTGGCTCAGCCTGTTGCCCTCCAGGCGCAGCTCGCGTAGGGCCTCCAAACCCCAAAAGGCCTCTGGTGCGAGGTGTGAGAGCTGGTTGCCCCTGAGAGAGAGTAGGCCTAGGCGTGGCAGGTGCTGGAAAACGCGGGGCCCAAGGTGTTGCAGGCTGTTAGCGGAGAGGATGAGGGTGGCCAGTGAGCGCAGCGGTGCGAAGGTGGCCGCATGGCGCAGGGAGGGCTGCAGTTCGTTGGCAGAGAGGTTGAGGAAGCGCAGCTTGCCCAAGTGGGCGAAGGCGTTCTTGCCCAAAAAGCGGATCCGGTTGGATTCCAGATGTAGATAGAGCAAGTTGCTCAGGGGGGCGAAGACTGCGTCTGGTAGCGCCCCCAGGGTGTTTCCATCCAGCCGCAGTTTGACCAGACTCTCCAGGCCCTCGAAGGAGCCCCGGCTGAGGCGGCCGATCTCATTCCCATTGGCATAGAGGATGCGAAGCTTGCGCAGCGGAGCCAGCGTGCCCGGGGCGAGCGTCTGCAGGAGGTTGTTCCCTAGGTAGAGCTCCTCCAGTCGCGAGAGCTTCTCGAAGGTCTTGGGGTGGAGAGAGCGGATCTGGTTGTACTGCAAGTCCAGCCGTCTTAGCTGCCCCAGGCGGTGGAAGTCGAAGGCAGTGATGTTGGTTATGAAGTTGCCGCCGAGGCTGTAAGTCAGCACGTCGTGTGGGCTTGGCAGCGAGCTGGTTTTGGGCACGGCGCGGAGCCCCCTGTTGGTGCACAGGAGATGCTGGGGGTGCTGGCAGTCGCAGCGCTCCGGGCACACGGGTTCGACCCGCGGCGGGAACGCAAAGCAGCCGCACACCACCAGCAGAAAGCGCACGGCCCGGGCAGACTCCATCGCCGCCCGCCCTGCGTGCTGCGGCCGGATCGTCCTCTTGGCCTGCTGGCTCTGTGTCTCCTCTGCATTCCCCTTGGCCTGGCCAGAGTCGCTAAATGGCCTCTTTCGGACTTCGCTGCGCCGTCCAGCCCCTCCTCCGCCCTTTGTCCGGTGGCTGGCCCGGGTCTCTGCAGGCGGGCTTCGCCCTGCCAAGTCAGGCGGCGCAGGGCGCTCTGTGAGCCCCGGGTGCTACTTGTTGCATTTCTGCAGAAAACTGCTTCCCCGAATGCGCGTCGGGGGGCGGAGGAGGGAGCAAGACCTGGCGCTTTTTGTTTGCAGCGGAGTCGGGAGAGCTGGATTCCCTGGCGCGGATTCTCCCCGCCAAGCGGATTCCCCAGCTGCAGGCGGGAGCCCTTCCAAGAGATCCTCGGGGCGCGGCTTGGCTGCTGGGCCCCGGCAGCTCGCCCCCCGCAGCCTCAGCCTTCTCGCTCTCGGTCCCGGATCCGGAGCGCGGCCCCCCAGTTGAACAGCCCGGGGGTGGGGGGCGCCCAGGCCGCGTCCGGAAGAGACCCAAGTCGGCGAGTAGCGAGCAAACCAGGCGGAAATTCGTTCTTCCCACACTCTGCCCCCGGGGACGCAGGCGGAGAAAGAGGAGACAGCGGAGGGAGGACAGACCCTGGCAGGGGGAGGAGGAAACGCTAAGTGGCTCCGCGTCTGGTCAGCCTGAGCCTGGGACGCCAAGTGAGAAAAGTAGGGATTAAAAACAGCTGTATGGGTCGGACTCGAAAGGCTGGGGGCGGGGGAGGATTACCGGGCGAGCAAACGGGATTTGCAGACAGAGACCTTTTTATTTTAGACGAGTACACCAGCTGCTTCTGAGCAGTGGGAGCGCGCCTCGCCTAGTTCGCCTAGTTCGTTTTAAGTCACTTGCTCTTCCAGGTGCCCCCCTGCGGGAAGTTTGGGCAGCACGAAGTCCGCCAGCATTCTACTGGAGGTTTGGGGGCGCGTAAGGTTGCCCTCAGAATCTAGCTGGGGTTGGGGATCCACTATTAGAAGGGGCTGACTAGGTCAAGTAGGTCTGTTCCTGCTTGTACCGGCCGGCCCCCTTTTAGGTGTCTGAACTGTTTGCTTGATCTTGTAGGCAGGAACATGAAGGAATCTCAGAATTGGTTCTGCCACCGTGAAAGTGTCTCCCTGAGAGTTTGGTCTCATTAATTCTTATCCACTCTTAGAGCTCTATGGGTAGGCTCTGCGTCTGCGTGCGTGCGTGTGTGTGTGTGTGTGTGTGTGTGTGTGTATAAAATAACCTTCACAGACCTCTTCACAGATTGCTCCCTGCAGGACTCTCCCACTTTATGCGTGGGCTTGCAGTGATCTTCATTGTCTGTAGGCTCAATAGTGTTCAGGCCTGGCTTAATTGGGGAAGTATTATTTATCAACAGGAAATGGAGCATTTAATAAGTGGCTCCTTGGGGGCAGCCCCTGCTAGGAATGAGAATGGGCAAGGGGTAGCTGTTAATTAGTGTTTATTTATGCAAATCATCTTGCTAAAACTAAGGTCCCTCCCCACCCCCACCTACTCACCCAATGTGTTACAAAACTATAATTTTTTCAGGATTTATTCTATGCAACAGTGGAAAATTAAAGGAAAGAAACAGGTCCTCACCTCAGGAGACTGACCATCTCTAGTGGAAGGTGCATTGTTGAAAGGTTCAGTAATTTAGGGCATCACAAAGATGCAAATGACTCTTTCAGCAATTAATATAGGCAAGTTCTGAATTTAGAGAAAGGTGAGATCTTTAGCAGGGTAGTCAGTGAATAGGGACCTTGGCTTTGCAGGGAGATGGGTCCAGGTGGAATGCAGAACTAGGAGAGAAGAGCTGAGGGGTGGAGCTCAGGGACACTCGCTGAGGGGCGCCTGGCCTGAGAGCATGGGGGAGGCCTCTATGGAAGGGAAACCTGATGGGGAGTTTGAGAGGTAAGCGGTATTACCTAGAGGACGGTGAGCAGGCACTCAAGGAGAGGGAACCTGGGGACACCTGCAGGCTTAGGAACTCCAAATCTTCTCTCTGCACATTTGGGGTCAGATATGTTGACATTTGTATTCTTTAACAGTGTCATACAGCCTCGCTTGTCAAGGACTTGAAACAAATACTCCTTTATTGCCCTTTAAGGGCTTCAGCTGGCAGTTGATTGTAATCATATTTGCACTGCGACATCAAGAGGAGTCTCTGCCTAAATAAACAGCATAGGTGCTGAACAAAGAAAATGTTGTCTACCCACCTCTTGCCTTCTAGGTCTTCGAAATCTCTGCCAGTGATATGTGTGAGAGGCGTGGATAGAATATCCGGACCAAGGTATTCACTTATTATACATACATAGACATTGTATAGATATTGAATAGGTACCACCCTTGAACCAGGGCAATGTGGGCACCAACCCTGGACCTTATGTTTTAAGAGAGCTGTGTTCCATTCCTCCTCAGGTGTGCTCCTCCCCATAAGAGCAGGAGTTTAGGCCTCCAAGGGATGTGCCCACCCACGGCCACCCCCCAACCCCATTGCTCAGGGTTTCTTGGATCCTGGAATTCCCTCCCTAAATCTGCGTGGGCCTTTTTGCCATCTTTTCTCCTAGGGGCCAATCAGGCCTCAAGTATATACTGCTAGGGTGGAGGGAAGATCAAGGGGCAGCTGTGAAAAAAGAATCTGGCGATGTGGGCTGAGGTTTCCATTAGGAGGCCCCTGGTAACTCAGGAGCCAGAGTTTGGAAGGGGAGCAGCAGGACATCCTTTGGCACTCAGCCTGGGCTTTCAAATGGAGGCAAGCCTGCCAGTAGGTAGCATTTTGGGGAGGGGAGAAAGTACATGGACTTCGATATAGAAACAACAAGGGAAAAAATTACAGGAGTTCGAAGGAAAGCATTTTTTAGAAGTGAAAATTCTACTTTATTATAACAGGCTATGCCTAACTTTCTATTAAAAGCAATGCTTCTTAGTAAAAGCAAAGTCATAGGTGTCCCTAGTTCAGTAACCCTCTCTTAACGTCAATGTCTTTGTATAATGTCTTTGTTTAATGGAGGATCCAGGCTTGACCTGTTTCCAGGAGATTGAAGTATTGATTACACTTAAGGGTATAATCTGCATAATCACAATTGGGAGTCCAGGAAGGAATGCGGTTCATGAGAGAAACAGAGCTTTGTCATTTTACTTTTAGAAAGCTTGCACTTTAAATCTGAGGTGCACCTGGAGGTAGTTCCAGGGGTCAGAAGCATGAATGAGTTTGGGCTGGCCCTCTGACACAGACATGTGGTGGAAAGGTTCTCAGGCATTCTTGCACAGGCATGGAATCCTCTTGGGCTTGCCAGGGTTGTATACCTGTGTCTTCCCAAGCAACCTGTGGTTCCTTTGAACTTCAACCACTGAGGCATGAAGGCTTCCAGGCCATGTCTTCAGCAGCCCCTGGAGCTGGCAGGAGTTGGCCCAGGCAGTGCCCGGTGCAGGATGGGTTGGGGAGAGAGGAGCTCTGTCTGGCTCCCACCTGCACTGGATGGGGGAGGTGTTTCCTGGAGCTGACTTGGGGGCAGCCTGGGAGGATGGCAGCTGTTTCCTCACCTCCTGTGAGCCAACCCCTAACATGCAGTATGCCCCTGACACAGATGAAGTAGGAAACAGAGAGACCTCTGGGTTCCCTTGGCATGTTATCAAATGACCCCCAAAGTTGTCTTTCTCTTTCTAAATGAGCTGCATCTTAGCCCCAGCCTGAGAGGCAAATTTCTTTTCCTTGGGGATCAGGAATGTGAATGAGATAATTGCTAGTTTACAGAGTATCTGCCAATTCTCCATTTCCCCCCTTTGGGAAATGCAAGAATGCAGTTCCCTGGCTAGGTACCAGCCTTGTTAAATCAGAATCTCTGGGCAGCAAAGCCACAATATCTGCATTTGTATGTTCACTGGATGATTTTTGCACTTGTTCAAATTTGAGAAAACTGATAGGCACTACTTGGGAATGCCTGTTGATGATCGGCTGATCATGTTATAATACAATGAAAATATAGTAATAACTGGAACTTGTGTAGTGCTTACTGTAGAGGGCCAGGCAGTGATCCAAGTGCACTACATAAAATAACTCCATTTATTGCCATTACTACCTTGTAAGGTAGAAATGATTATCATCCCCCATTTTACAAAGGAGTTTGTTAAAAATAAAGCAGCCTAGGCCCACCCCCAGAGAATCTGATTGGGATCCTCTAGAATAGGGCCTAGAAATTTTATCTGTTACTAATAGTGTTTCCCACAATAGTCTGGTGAGGGCCCAAGCTTAGGAACTACTTACCCACTCTTCTAAAGGGCTTATTGAGACATTTCAGTTTCTCCTCTGCTAGGAGGTGGGGGTGGGGTGGGGTAGAGAATAAGACAAGGCCCAGACCTTCAGAGAAGATAATGACAGTGAGCACATGCTGTGATAGTAATTGTCTTTTGAAAGGAAAATAAGAAAGAACTAAAATCTTTGTGGGAAGTTAGCACTGTATGTGTGTCGGGCGTTTATACATGCACCCTCCCAGCATTCTAGATGGAAAATCCTTAGCCATCATTTCAAAGAAGCCTGATTAAGTGAAACCACCATGTATAAACAAATTGTGTATCTGTAAGAACTACAGTGAACTTCGGGGCCTTTCTGGCAAGCCAGAAAACAAAGGCAGATATTGACTGAGCATGATGATGACAGGAAATAAGGCAAATCCACGTGCCATTTATGGTCACAGTATGGAGTTTATTGCTATCTAACTGAAATTTTATAGCAGTAATAGAATGTTGTCTTCCCCTAGAATGGAATTGCGTCAGTAGCCTAAGGAAATGCTCTAGGTATAAAAGTATCTCTTTATCTTGAGTACTAAAATATTTGCCATCCCTATGAACCAGACCTATAGTTGTACGTCATTGCACAACTTTCTCCTATTCTTTTATTTGCATTTCTGTACACTACACTAATGACCTTTAAGGCATTGGCCTTGCTTTATGTCCTATGTGGCCCTCAGCAACTGCTGTTGCACTGCCCAAGCTTTCATAAAAATAAAGAAAAGAAACAAAAATGTTAACATTTGTTGTCTTTAGGTGGTGAGAAAATAAGTAATTGTGCTACTTTGGGGCATTTTCCAAATAAGGTACAAATACCATGTATTTCTTTGGAATTCCTGAAAAAATTTTGAACCTAATATCTCTGGTTTTGATATTAGATCTAAATCTCATGAGAGAATCAGGGTGAGGAGTATTCAATTCATATCCACAATT